ATCAAGCCAATATTTCTGACATTATTTCTTGACTCGAGACTACAGATGCCCCAACATGATTTCCTTCCCAGAGTGGAAAGAAGACTGGGATGGCAGATGGCCAGCCGGGATTCCCAAAATGCCTGATGCTGTCCTGTGGCTGCAAAAATGCAGGCATGCTAGCCAGAACAGACTTTCAAAAGCTATTTCTACAAATGTACTACCAAGCCTTTTGGCAACCTTTGGAGTACAAGGTCTTTCATTCATTCCTTCTATAGATAAATTAAAAAAAATATATGAGTATAGAACTTGGAAGTCCCTGAGTAAAACATGTAGCCACCCCGCTGCTGAGCAAGAGGCTCAAGAGAGGCATATTTCTGCGGGCTTTTCCAGTGTGGAAGGTAAATTCACCAAAGGCCCTAAACTGTGCAGAAAGAGGGGCTCTGCTCATCTGCCTATATCATTTAAGAGATGATCCTAGTATGGTGAAGGGTAGGGAAGGCCTTTCCATTAAGTTACTAGTGACTTTATTTTTTTTAATTTTTTTAAATATTTTTTTATTGATTAAGATATTACATATGTGTCCTTATCCCCACATTATCCCCTACCCCCCGCTCATGCCCTCACCCCCCCCCCCCTGTTGTCTGTGTCCATTGGTTAGGCCTATATGCTTGCATATAAGTCCTTTGGTTGATCTCTCCCCCTTACCTCCACCCTCCCCCACTAGTGACTTTAAAACCGAGTTTTGTTTTGCAAACACCATTATCTCTCCTTCTTCCTCCTTCTCCCTGCTTCCCAAATCCTGTCTCCCCTGTGGTTCATACAGAGCTACAGCTCCCTAAGCTTTCACCTGTCTCAGTGCAGGGTGTTACTTGCAACAAAACAGATTTGCAACCCCATACACACCAGAGGAAGATGGAGACTCGGGGGAAGGGAAGGCAGGAGAAACATATCACAAGGGTTTGAAACAACAGCAAGAAGAATGAGGTGAAACCCCACCTGAAAAGGGTTCCTTCCGTGTAGACAGCAAGCTGCTGGAGGGCAGGAACCACAGCTGCTGCCTCCTTGAATCTATCCCCACCAGGCCCATATTCTTAGCCCTGTGCTTTATTTACTACTTTCCACGCAGTAAGAGCTAAAGAAAGTGTAATAGTTTGAGTGAAACAAGTAAATGTCTCTTGTGACACACAAGTGGTCATTCCTGAGTATCCTGATTGCTTGTTAAAAACATACATTTCCCCAAACTGGTGAATCCAATTGACAGAGAGGAGCCTGTGAATCTGTACTTTCACTAGCATGACAGCTGACTCCTAGCAGTTTGGGAAATGCTGGGAGAACTACCCTCTGTAGTCTGAACAACCAGGGGCAAATTCCAGTTTGGGAACTTCTTGGCTGTCTAACTCGGAGCATCATTGATTGGCTGCCTCTGCATGCTCCCCACTGGGGATTGACCCTGCAACCTGGGCATGTGCCCTGACCGGGAATCGAACCGTGACCTCCTGGTTCATAGGTCGACCACTGAGTCACGCTGGCCAGGCTTGGCTAACTGGAATCTCAGTTTTCTCATCTGCAAAATGAGAATAATGATGTCTATTTTGTAACATCATTAAAAAGATTTTAAAAGCAATTTCAAGAGAATAACAAAGGTCCTGATGTGTAGTGGGTTTTTTCTAAAGGTCCGTTCCCCTTTATCCAGAAAACACTAGGGAACTACTGAAAGCTTCTGAGCAGATCATGTCCAGATTGTTGCTTTACCTTCAAGTCCCTCTGGGACACCCAGGCAAATGGCTGCCTAGCCTATTCCATAACACCTCCAGTGACAAAAGATCAAACTTACTATCTCTGGAAGCAGACCATTCATTTGCAGACAACTTTAATCATTAGCAATTTATTCCTCTTGTTGAGCTGAGATCTGCCTTGGGTGACAGAACAAATTTAATCCCTTTTCCACATGATAGGCTGATGCAATTACTTAGATAAGGTAAGTGAGGAGTAGTGTGGGGGGTCCATTTTGAACACCCTGCACTGGGAGGGCTGGTTCAGGCCTATGTCCGGCAAGTAGTTGCTATGCATGTCTGCAGTTCAGTAAAGATATCAGGGGCATCACTTACACAATGACATGATTTGAAGTTGTGAAAGTTCTTTGTAATACTTTAAGCAATAAAACAAAATTTTTTAAAAAAAGGAAGTAAATGACATTGCCATTTAGGGGCAGAGGTAATGAACAGGATTGAGGAATGCTCAGCAAGGTAGGAAGAGAGCCTTTAAAGAAAAAAACAGCCCTAACCGGTTTGGCTCAGTGGCTAGAGCGTCGGCCTGCAGACTCAAGGGTCCCAGGTTTGATTCCAGTCAAGGGCATGTACCTTTGTTGTGGAAACATACCCAGTAGGGAGTGTGCAGGAGGCAGCTGATCAATGTTTCTCCTCATCAATGTTTCTAACTCTCTATCCCTCTCCCTTCCTCTCTGTAAAAAATCAATAAAATATATTTTTTAAAAAAAAGAAAAAGAAAAAAACAAACAAGTAAGCCATGGAAACAAATGTGGTGAAGAAGAAGAAGAAGGCAGAGGACCAGTAAACCAGTCATTGAATTTGACGACTAAGAGGTCACCACTGCTTCCTGGCAGACCTGGGCATCTGCTCCGCTGGAGCTGCTGGGATCACAACACCAAACTGAAAAGCAGATGCACACTTCCCCTCCTACTGAAAGAGAGGTAATTTGGAGAAATAGCAGCAGCAAGGACAGATGACTCTAACACTTCCCAACCTGCATGGTAAGACGGGTTTCTCCAAATAAGGCTTTCATGCTCCCTCCTATCTACCGGAGAAACTGCCTAGTAAGTCTGTCCTGGAGATTAATCACAGAGAAGAAACCTATTTTCCTTTTTAATCCTGCACTTGCTCAACTTCCTGAAACATTTTTTTTTACATAATACTACCAACCTCTCCAAGAACTAGTGTTTCCTAGCACAGAATTGGGCAAATAAATGTGGGAAACAGAAGAAGAGAGACAAGATGAGAGTTTAAGGGACAACCGGTATCAAGGGAATTTTTTTCTTTTCTTTTAAGAATGGATGAAAGTTGAATATGTTTACATGTGGAAGAAAGGGAACCAAGTGTAGAGTGAAAGGCTCAAAACAAGCACAAAAGGAAATAGAGCAAGCCTGGCTCCAGGAGAGGGGTTAGCTTAGCGAAGGACCTCAGGTCACTGCTTCAGCCAGGAAATATTATTTTTTAATTAAGTCTAGTGATCACAAATGTTCACTATCCTAAACCATATTTGCTTTGCTCAGATGATACAATGTTATCAAGATAAGGTTAAGGACAGATTATGTAAACTGGATAAACTGCTTAGCTAGAACCAGAGTGCATCTCCACCCTCCTCCCCAGAGTTTTCCTGGCCGGGGCCAGAGAAGGGGGCTCCAGGTCTTCCAGGTTGGGAGCTAACGCCCCACTGCTCCTGCTCAGGCAGGGCGAGCTCTACCACAAGATAGACAGAGAGGGAAAATCTAAAAATAAAGCTCTCTGAAAAAACTGTCTTGCCTAAAGAGTAGCTTCCCACGCACTCTGTAGTGCCACATCTGTGGGGGCTGAAAGCACAGAACGGAACAATCCTGACCAAGTCACGTAAGTACTACCCTTTAGCAGGGGGGGAGGGGACCACAGTGCATTGCTGATCCTCCCCATCAGTGCCCCAGTGTCAGGAGACTGAAAAGATCACGGTGACTACTCCAGCCTTCCTGCTCTCCTCCTTTCTCAGCGGGAGGTGAGCACAGCACATGTGAAGAAAGCTGCTGCACAAGGAGTGGAATTGAGTGCTTATTTTAGAAAAGAACCATGAAGGGGTTAGTGAGCTTCAGGCTCAAAGTGGGGCTCCCTCTGCCCCACTCCTAGCAGTAGGGTCACAGATAAATGACCAACTGAAGAAAAAAAAATCAACTACCCTGAAAAGAGCTGCAATTAGCCTTTCTGTCAGTTGGCTATCTTCATTTCCAACCCCAAGCACAGAACAGTTGTCATGTTGCCGGGCAACTAGCATATGCAACCTCACCTCCTAACCTCCCAGCTGGTATCAGAGGCCACTAGAAAAAGTTCAACCCAAGAGGTTTATACAACCCCATATGTAAGTATTAAACACACAGGGAGGGAGGGAGGAGGCAGCCGGCTCAGGGGAGTAATCCCACCACCTCTTTCTCTAAGGAGTTTAACCTTGGAGAGATACAACATATTTGCACCAACTATTGGAGTTTTGCCAAGAAGCCCAGGCAGGAAGAAGGAAATTAATTCTACCAGGAGGCCATAGTGTTCATTTAGCAGTCCAACTCCCCAGGAGGTTTGTACTTTGACCTGACCAAGTATGACAATATGCCTTGAGGGTCAGAAGCTCAACCTTGGACAATATCTTGGAATAATTTTCAGCAGCAATACACACAAAGCTGCACATCCACCCGCCCTTCCTGGGGAATGCACACCATCCTGCCCCATGTCCCATGACTCAGATACAGTAGACCAGTGCAGCAGGGAGCAAGCAAACACAATTAAAAAAAGAAAAAAAGAATGCAACAACCTGTCAGTTCCTTGGTCTTAAAAGAGACCCTGGACCAGAACACAGTGGTAGTTGATACGCTCAGATATAAAGCCTGGGGTGTATTATGCACATGTGAAAGGGAGAAGGGATGCAAAGTTTCCCCCTCAAATCACAAATTGTAAGCAAAATACTTTGAACATACCAGTGCTATTTGAATGCTGACTAGCAACAATCACCCAATAGCCCTTTCTGATTGGAGCACACTAAAAAGTTCCCATACTGAGTCATTCATGAACAAAAAAGAAGAAGCCAAGCCAGCTCCTGACCAGGAGGAGATAGTACTGGCCAGAAAGTACACGACCTGAGCATAGAGTTGGAAGTGTTGTTGTAGTGCTGGGAGTACACACTCCCTACCCCACTAGGTAAACAAGGGCTGGGTTGGACCAGACTCCCCTTGTGCAGCACAAGGCCTACGGCTTGGAAGTGGGACTCACCTGACATACAAGGACCTCTTCTCACTTGTTCGGAGGGACCCAGACCCAGAGCTCATGCTGCTGTTCATCATTTGTTCTCGCAAGTCATGTATCTTCGATTCAAAGCGACTGTACTCTGTCAGGAAGACAAGGGAAAGGGCAGGAAAAGAATGAAGCCAAGGAGAGGCACTGAACCTGCACACCCGTGGCCCGAGCCAGAGGACACTTGGCTTCATGCAACCAGAGCCAGCCCAGTCAATCTTTGCCTGGATAGGCAGAGTCCCTCCTCCAGGCACAAAAAGGCAGACTTCTCTCCACCCTACACACTCATAGAAGGAAAGAACACACCCGGAAAAGGAGTAACATTTTGATGTATCAAATGGAAAAGGCTTTTATCTGCCTTGAAATCCTTAAAAGAAAACTGGAAGAAGGTTCCAGTGTGGCTTTCATAAATCTTTAGAGCAGACGCTAAGGCCCAAGGAGAGCAGATGGGAAAGAATTTCCCAAAAAGAGGACTGCAGAGAACAGATGGCCATGAGAGCAGGGTGGAGGGGCTGGAAAGGACCCGAGGCCATTAAATTATTGTTAGGCAAGGAAGCCGATTTGTTTCTAGGTGTCTTTTTTGAGGGGGAATACTGGAACCCTGTGCCAAAGTAAAAACAAACAAACCTCACAATCAGATAAGGAGATCACAAAGCTCCCCTGAGTTATCTCCATTTTAATAAACAGGGTCTTTGGCCTCAGTATCAATTAAACATTAAAACAAATTCTCTAGTTATTTCCCATTTAACAAACAGGGGCTTTGACTTCAGTATCAATTAAACATTAAAACTAAATTCACTCAATCCTAGAAGTCTGCTAATACCTCCCTCCTCCAAAATCACCTAGTCAGTAGGATCATAAATACAGGCCCAGCTTGGAGGCCTGCTGACACCATCTTAACCACCTGAACCACCTTATCACTCTGTGAAAGTAACTATAGGTTTACACCAAATTTAAGAAAACCTGATTAGGAAAACTAACTATAGCCATTATAACTTTATTATAAAAGGCTTTTTTATAGGACTGCCTTACTGTGACATTGTCCTAATACATTTAAAATATGATACTCATTACACACACATAATTCCACAACATTTTTCAAGTCTTTAATTGCTACATGAAATGGATATATCTAAACCACAGGCTGTGGAAATGGTAGAAAACAGGCATGCTTCATTATGACCAGCTGAATTTAAAAGAAGTCAAGATTTATTCTAGGGATTGAAGGTGGGGAATTGCTCTAAAACATAAACACATTTCCGGGGGGGGGGGGAAATTCCACAAAAGCATTTTCATGCACCATGGAGGGCTGGCAAGAAGCATCCCCATGTAGTCTGTGTGACTGTACCGGCAGAAAACCAAACACCTGTTCCAACACCTGACACCCCACTTCCCTCAGCAAAGCAACCTGACCTTCAGCTAGGTATAAAGCAGTGGTTCTCAACCTTCCTAATGCCACGACCCTTTAATACAGTTCCTCATGTTGTGGTGACCCCCAACCATAAAATTATTTTCGTTGTTACTTCATAACTGTAATTTTGCTATTGTTATGAATCATAATGTAAATATCTGATATGCAGGATGTATTTTCATTGTTACAAATTGAACATAATTAAAGCATAGTGATTAATCACAAAAACAATATGTAACTATATATGTGTTTTCCGATGGTCTTAGGTGACCCCTGTGAAAGGGTTGTTCGACCCCCAAAGGGGTCGAGACCCACAGGTTGAGAACCGCTGGTATAAAGGGAAATGTTAAAAAGCCTAAAGGGGAGGGAATGAGGTTTTAACTCTCAAAGTAATCTCTTCTCAACAGTTTCTTTTTGTTCACACTGATACCAATGAAGCCAACTGCTTAGGTTCATGTGCTTTCATTCATCATGCACTGGTGTTATAGTGATTTGTCCTCATTACCTACTCTGGTCCCTGAAATCCTACAGGAAGTAGTTAAATCACTGACTCACCCATTAAATGCTGTGTGGGGGGGGAGAGAAACATCAGCAGGACAATGTCCCTGTTCTGAGGGTTACCTGGTAACACATTAATTTCAATGAGGCATCCCAATCTAAAGGTAGAGGGTGGTGACTGATCTGTCATAGAAGCCCTGGACTGCCCAAGAGCGCAGCAGCAGGACTGTATACCTCTAGAGCCGCCTGAGCACTGGCCCCACCCCACGGTTTGGCCCTCCATCCTGGCCTTCTCTAGTTGGCTCCTTTCTGGCTGTGCTTCTCAGACAAAGAGATTTCTGACAAGGCAGCCCTTTCTTGAGGAAGATAAGTAAAAGGCAGAAATATGCCTTGAACCCAGAAAAAAATACACCAAACCTATCCTTAAGCCGTTTTCCCTCTCTCACAACTTGTTTATATATTCCCTTCTTTGGAATTGACTTGCCTGCTGAACTCCAACTTAGCAGCAGGTCATGGCAGTTGCTTAGTAACTACATTACTTAAAAAATCCTTTAAAAAAAAGCAACAACCACCAAACCACCATTTCCTCAAAGCTCCTAATCCAAGGTTGATAATACTGGGCCAGAGGGCCCACTTAAAATAGACTACAGAAAGAGAACAAGGCTATTGCTTTAAGGAATCCACTTTCTGTTTTCTACTTGCTACTAAGCTTTCAAGTCTATTAAATTGTGTTTTATTCATTTTTTCCTATTCAGATGATCCCCTTGAGTTTCAGATGCTCATCGGGTCTCGGCTTTTATTTGTAGAGTTATCTAACGTCTAGTAGGCACAGAGTAGCCTCTGAATAAATGATTGTTGGGTAAATGAGCAAATTAGAAAACTGCCCAAGTCGACACTTCTGTTCTCAAACTAATAAACCTAATGGTTTATTTAACTGATGGCTGCCAGCTTCACTGAGGGCTTGGAAAGGTAGTTAAGAAGTATTCCCATTTACTTCCTTACCAGGTTTAACTGTTGGGAGCAATTGGGATGTTTTCTAAACATCCTTCTGAGATGTTAATAACCCACAGTGGGCATCTGATTAAGAGACTTTGTTTATAATAAAGGAAAAAAACAATTCTAACATAAAAAAACTGTTTAAAATAGTCTTAAGATAGATAGTACCTCATCTTAATATTTAGAGCAGGGGTCCTCAAACTACGGCCCGCGGGCCACATGCAAATACAAATATTGTATTTGTTCCCGTTTTGTTTTTTTACTTCAAAGTAAGATATGTGCAGTGTGCATAGAAATTTGTTCATAGTTTTTTTTTAAAACTATAGTCCAGCCCTCCAACGGTCTGAGGGACAGTGAACTGGCCCCCTGTTTAAAAAGTTTGAGGACCCCTGATTTAGAGGCACCATTTCCAAGAACAGAAGCTTCACTTAAAAATTATCTGAATTTCACCTGGCCAGTGTGGCTCAGTGGCTGAGTGTCAACCCATGAACCAGGAGGTCAAGGTTTGATTCCCAGTCAGGGCACGTGCCTGGGTTGCTGGCTCCATTCCCAGTAGGGGGCATGTGGGAGGCAGCCGATAGAAGATTCTCTCTCATCATGGATGTTTCTATCTCTCTCTCCCTCTCCCTTCCTCTCTGAAATCAATAACAGCATATTTAAAAAAATCATTTGAATTCAGCCTGGCCAGGTGGCTCAGCTGGTTGAAGCTGGGTCCAGTACACCAAAAAGGTTGCAGTTTGATTTCTTGGTCAGGGCACATGCCTGGGTTGTGGGTTGGATCCACAGTCAGGATGCATATGGGAGGCAACTGATCAATGTTTCTCTTACATTGATCTCTCTCTCTTTCTCTCTCTCTCTCTCTCTCTCTCTCTCTCTCCCTCTCTCCCTCCCTCTCTCCCTCCCTCCTTCCCCCTCCCCCTCCCTTTCCCTCTCTCCCTCTTCCTCTCCCTTTTCCTTCCTACCTTCCTTTCTTCCACTCTCTCTAAAAATCAATGGAAAACATATCCTCAGGTGAGGATTTAAAAAAATCATCTGAATTCTAAGGCCTCACAATTTGCCAAGGTGTGAAAGTCACTGCCAAGGAAGCCCACCAGACCAGCCTCAACTCAAAGGGCCCACTTCAAATATGATACTTTAAAACAACACTTATTACTAAAATCTCGACTACTGAACTGTGTTTTATTCATTTTTCCCATTCAGATGAACCCAACCATTTGTGACCCACAAAGATGTCCATGGTGAATCATCGCATCCCTCGTTCCCTTTGCTTATCACAGAGAATAATGAGAGGGAGGGAGCACAATTAGTGGTCATTTCCCCAAACACAGGGTTTCTCACTGACCAACTGAGGTGCCTCTTGGACTCTACCAGACACTGACTCAAAACTTACTGAGCAGGCTCAGGAATCTGCATTTTTACCAAGCATCAATAGTTATTAAATATGGTGATTCTGATGCCCAATAAAGCTTGAAACTGCTGGTCTTGGCTTACAAAATTGAGTTTTGTTTTATTCAGAGAAAAGATAAGTACATTGTGTCTCAAAAGGCAGGGCAAGAGGATTGCCCTACCCTCTCAAAAAAAAAACAAAACAAAAAACAAAACAACCCTGACAATATAATTGCAAATCCCACAGGAAAGGAAAGTGCTAAAGAGGCCTCTGTCCAATGTGCCTGCAAAGAAAGTTAATGAGTTTACAATTTTTTAATTATAAAAGTAGCACATGATTTTTACAAATCTTTAACTTTTTTCTTTAGAAACTCCTGTATCATTTCCCCATCCCACTACCCAGAAGTAATGAATTAGTATTTTTCGTATGCATCCTTCCAGACTTACTTCCATATATAGTTGGACTTGAACAATACAGGTTTGAACTGCACAGGTCCACTTGTACAGTTTTTTTTTTCAATGAATACTATGTGTGTATTTTGTCTTCCTTATGACTTCTTAATAACCTTTACTCTAGTTTACTTTATTGTAAGAATGCAGTATATAAAACATATAACATACAAAACATGTGTTCTTTGACTATTTATGTTATCAGTAAGGCTATTAGTTAAGTTTGGTGAGAGTCAAAAGTTATATGTCCCTAACCCCTGCATTGTTCAAGGGTCAACATGTACCTACTTTTTTCTATACTCTGGTATGTCATGGAAACCCATCCATGTCAGTACATAGAGATCTACCTCATT